GAACAACCATTAGTAGAATAATACTATTTTAGTACTTCCATTCCCGTTCTAAATATAAATAGAAGAACATAAACGGTGCAGAAGTAAAGGGAGAATTGGCACAACTATAAAGGCACAAGCAGTTTAAATACAGATATACATATGCTGGCTTGCATAGAAAGAATTGCAGTGCTGCTGCTCAGAGTGGTACTACTGCCACTACGATTCATTCGTTTCGATGGTAAATTGGTACTGACTATATGTCAGGGATTCAATGTTCGTCATCAGCGAGCTGCTTGTAAACTAATCTCGAATAGAGTAATCATCGGCAGCTTTGTCGGAAGGTGATTGCTGTAGGATTTGCTACCACCTGAGCTATTTCCAAGCGTCTCAGCTTCTCACAGCGAGTGAATATGGGCAATGTTTTGATTTTGACATACACAAATAAGCGGGAAGGAAAAAAGTAAATAAAAGTAGGAAATAGTAAAAAGAGAAATGAAACACAGTGAAAAATTAAATGTAATTTAATAACAATCACGATTTCTATATTACTATTTGTTTTGATAATTACTATAATTTATTATTAATAATTATTGTTTTAATAATATTACTGATCACTATTTTTTCCACAATTATTCTCACTTTGAAGCTTCGCAGTCCCATATCATCACTGCACAGAATTCTACAAAGAAAATGCTGATTTGACTACCTCTCCCTTGCAACATCTTCATCCGAAACAACGTAAGTGGAGTAGGATGGAGTCTGTCGATTAATGCTATACGTTCGATCAACCGGCTGCTGATACTCCAGGGAAGTCTCATGAAGGCTTTCAGCAGTGCGAAGGTTTTCAACGGACATACTTTCTTCTGACTTCTGCTCCGGCTCTTTTTTATTTTTCCTGCAAGGATGCTTTTGAGCAACCTTAGCATTGTCATTCAAGCATAAAGAAATTTTCGCAAAAAATACAAATTTTGCTACTTCGTGTTGGAGAATAGTAGAAATTAAAAACTGCAAGAATTCTGGAGTCCGATTTCATTGTGATGGTGGCAGCGAAATTATTATTTTATTTTTGATGAATGAGCTAACATATACACAGACGTGCACAGACACACACACGTACATACGTACACACCAAATGCAGCTGCATTCGGTCGCTCATATCAAGAAAATTAATACCAACATTGAGTTCTGGGCACTCTTATTTTAATCAGATTCCGAGAATTTCAAGTTAAGGGACCTGAGATGGCGCGGGAGCCTTCAATTCAAAAAAATTTCTAAATTTTCTGCCTTCAGCTGTAAAACATTTTCTTTGCCGAAGTGACCAGTATAACCTGTTCAAAGCATTTGCAGAATGCTTTTGGCTTGCACCGGCCTTGCTCCCGCTGGAACTGGACGAAGCAGCTGATGGCGATTCACTGGCCTCTTCCTCCATCTCTATTACAATGTCCCTGCTCTGCAACACCATCGTTTACAAAAATTTTGCGCGAAAATCTAGCGGATCGGAAGTTTTTTTCATTTAAGAAGACTATTATGATCCTCAGTATCCTATACCAAAATTTCTTTGTAATTCGCTAAAACAAGCAAAAGCATTCACAGGCAGCACGAGTGGTAGCACATGCCTGTAGCAACTACACGCTGGCAGGGCTGTCGATGGCTTGCTGTTTGGAGTATTGCTTAAAAACAAATTCCCATCAATCGTGTATCTCTAATGTGCGCCAGGACCAAGTTCCTAACAGCATCAGCTGACGGGTCAAATGACCACTGGTTCTGCCCTTATTTTTCCAAAAGTTTGCAAGAGATTGGCAAAATTTCATAATTCAGGAAGGAAAATACATATTATATTTAGTTTGTTTTGTGTACATAATATAGCTTTGCCACCGAGTGGTTGCTGTTGGCATTTGTTATCACTCGGGCTATTTCTCGAGTGCTTTCGTCTCGCCGTGAGAGCAAACTACAGAGGGGCTTTGACTTTTAACTTTTGACACAGTGAAAATCGAAGGGTTTGTCTCGATGGCATCCTGTCCCCATTGTACTTTTTCCTTTAGTATTTACCATTTCTCAATTT